AAAAAAAAAAAAAAAAAAAAAAAAAAAAAAAAAAAAAAATCATTTGAAGTTGAAAAAAATCACTTAGGGCTATTGACTATAAAAAACACTCATAATTGAACACGATGCTATTTAAGTACAAGCACATGTATGAAACATATGTTAAGAAAAGAATCAAGAGAATGATAAAATTATAGATAGTGCTTACCTCTTTGGGGAATCAGGGGATAGGAAAATGAAGAGGCACACGGTTGATGCAATGTTGTCAATAGCCTACTCCTTGGAGTGTGTGTTGGGGTCATGAGTGGTTGGTTATTACTATATTTGATAACTTGTGATAACTTGCATATTTATGGCATATATTTTCATATGTATCAAATATCTCTTAAAATTTAAAGAAATTTGTGTAAAGAATAGAAATTCTACAAATTAAACTCAATTTAAAACTGATAGAAGTAAAATACAAATTTGTCTTCTATTTCAACCTAAGTTCAATACCAAATTAAAACGTTTTAATGTTATATTTGGCAATAAAAAGAAATGTGTTTTCTTGGTTGGGCTGGATAGCTGTATTGCTGAAACAGCTGGTTTTTATGCTTAGAAAATTATTACTGGAAGAAATATACATTCTGTGCTCTCAGAAATGTTTTTTACCTGTAAATATTTGGTAAGTTTGATTTTAAGTGAGACTAGCACTGTTGGCTGGCTATTTTAACAGAGCCAGAAATAAAGAAATCCAGGTAAAGGGTGAAGAATTTTGGCAGTAACTCTAATGGGCAACCCTGCAACATGTTTCTTAGTGGGAAGAGGAATCTTGGTAGAAAAAAGATGAATTAGAGCTATGCCCGAATATCAAGTAATGGAGATTTTATATAGATATATGTTATTTCAGATTACAAGAAATATAAGAAATTATTAATGTTAATGAGATATGCTAAAAACTTTTTCATACTAAGTCTTTGAAATCTAGCATGTATTTTACACTTAAAGCACATATTAATTTGGTCTAGCCACATTTTAACTTCTTAATAGCCACGTGACTACCATATTGGATACACAACTATATCTATAGCAACCTCAGTTAAACTTGTTACAAGCAACCAATGTGGAAACACTTATGCCAAAGTTAAAGATTGAATGAGATCAATTAGTTTATGATTTTGAGCTATTTATCTGTGTGTCTATCTCAGAGATCTATCAGACTGTGTAAATCATTACTTTTGAAATGAGGTTTGTAGATTAATCTGTTAGCTAATAAAGAGGAAAGGGTCCTACAGGCTGATGTTCCATCTGGATTGACTGGTAGGCAAAACAAGCAGCAACCCAAGGGAAATTGGCAAAGATAAATAAGATAGAAATTCCAAGAGCAACACTGGACATAGCCAAGGCAGCAGGTTGGAGTCATATCAATTTCAGGAAGACAGGAATATTAAACACAAAAAGAATTTAGCAGCTGAAAAAAGAACTTTTGGGCAAAGGCTGTAGGTAGAGTTTAACCACAACAGTGATGATGATATCTAGAATGACTCAGTGTTGGCAAGCAAATAGTGCATCTCCTCATTCTGTGTCCTCAAAATGATTTGTATATGACATATTTCCCCTCAATTTTTCTGTTTTCATTAATATTTTATTTCCAAAAGAAGATAATTTTAATTAGAGTTAAATAGAAAGTAAAATTAAATGGTCTTTTTAACATGTTGATCACTTACATTGCCTACTGAGATTAGAATGTCGAGTCTTATAACTAAATTTCTAATAGGTTTATTTTTCTGTTTAGAATGTTGTGTAGATTATCTCTTGCTTGGCTCTCTTATTATTTGAAATGAGATCATAGAGAATGTTGTTAGCAGAGTTTCTATTCCCATGCACTAATCAACTTACATAAATCATGATAATTGACCCAGGCTTAGTATTGTTCCTCCTTCTAGTTAATTAGAGATATAGTCATATAGTCATGATGACTAGATAAAAGAAGTAGAATGCAGTAATTGAATAATGATTTTGAATATTAGAAACTCAGTACATAATACATAATCATGATTGGCTATTTCAGATAAAAGTCTGTGTTTACTTGAATTTTTCCAGAAACAGGATTTGGGGCACTAAAAGTTAAAATAAGTACTCTTACAATCAACTCACATTCTTGTAATTAAAATAACCTGAGTCTCCAGTCTCACAGTATTCAAGGTAGATACATGAGCTAAATAATGGGCTTAGAGTGACTGGTTTCTTTCTTTCTAACTTTTTCTGAAATAAAGTACATGTGTCTTGATAGTGTCATGAAGAGTACAGTTAATTCTTCCTTAATAATTTGAATGAAAGATCAATTTAATAGGGTAAAGAAAGAATCATACCTTTCCTTTTGCCATTTTAACTTCAAACAAGTGTAACTGATGAAAATAAAAAAGCTATCATCACTCCCATAGTAAAATCCTTTAAGTGACTTTCTTTAACTGATTTCAAATAAAATAAAAACAAAGAAATGGCTTGAGGATCAGAGTTATAAACTGCTCAGTGAAAGGTTTTTTAAAAGCTCAGCTACTGTCTCTCAGGATTTATTAAAAAAAAAGAATTGGATATATGTAAAGTATTATACTGCACAATATAGAGCTTTATCTGCAGAGCTGAATATACTGTCTTTCCTTCACTTCTACAAACCTCTTTTTCTATGGTTACAAAATTGATTTCTGATCATGGTGTTAATTAGTCTGATGAGAAAATAAAACATACTTTATATGTTTCTTCTTTTTAACTAACCTTTTATTTTGAGATAATAATAGATTCACATGAAGTTGTAAGAGATAATATCCTGCCGGGCGCGGTGGCTCAAGACTGTAATCCCAGCACTTTGGGAGGCCGAGGCGGGTGGATCACGAGGTCAAGAGATTGAGACCATCCTGGTCAACATGGTGAAACCCCGTCTCTACTAAAAATATAAAACATTAGCTGGGCATGGTGGCGCGTGCCTGTAATCTCAGCTACTCAGGAGGTTGAGGCAGGAGAATTGCCTGAACCCAGGAGGTGGAGGTTGCGGTGAGCTGAGATGGCACCATTGCACTCCAGCCTGGGTAACAAGAGTGAAACTCCGTCTCAAAAAAAAAGAAATAATATCCCATGTAGATGTGTGGCGTTACTTCTGAGGCCTCTGTTCTGTTCCATTGGTCTATATCTCTGTTTTGATACCAGTACCATGCTGTTTTGGTTACTACAGTCTTGTAGCATAGTTTGAAGTCAGGTAGCATGATGCCTCCAGCTTTGTTTTTTTTTTTGCTTAGAATTGACTTGGCTATGCGGGCTCTCTTTTGGTTCCATATGAAGTTTAAGGTGGTTTGTTCCAGTTCTGTGAAGGTCAATGATAACTTGATGGGGATAGCATTGAATCTATAAATTACTTAGGCCATTTTCATGATATTAATTCTTCCTAACCATGAGCATGGAATGTTTTTCCATCTGTTTGTGTCCTCTCTTATTTCCTTGAGCAGTGGTTTGTAGTTCTCTGTGAAGAGGTCCTTTACATCCTTTGTCAGTTATATTCCTAGGTACCTTATTCTCTTTGTGGCAATTGTAAATGACAGTTCACTCATGATTTGGCTCTCTGTCTGTTATTGGTGTATAGGAATGCTTGTGATGTTTGCACATTGATTTTGTATACTGAGACTTTGCTGAAGTTGCTTATCATCTTAAGGAGATTTGGGGCTGAGACGATGGGTTTTCTAAGTATACAAGCTTTGACAAACCTGATGAAAACAAGCAATGGGGAAAGGATTCACTGTTTAATAAATGGTGTTGGGAGAACTGGCTAGCCATGCACAGAAAACTGAAACTGGACCCCTTTCTTACACCTTATACAAAAATTAACTTCAGATGGATTAAAGATTTAAACATAAGACCTAACACCATAAAAAACCTAGAAGAAAACCTTGGCAATACCATTCAGGACATAGGCATAGGCAAGGACTTTGTGACTAAAACACTAAGAGCAATGGCAACAAAAGCCAAAATAGACAGATGGGATCTAATTAAACTTAAAAGCTTCTGCATGACAAAAGAAACAATCATTAGAGTGAACTGACAACCAACAGAATCGGAAAACATTTTTGCAATCTACCCATCTGACAAAGGGCTAATATCCAGAATCTACCAAGAACTAAAACAAATTTATAAGAAAAAAGCAAACAACCCCATCAAAAATTGGGTGAAGGATATGAACAGATACTTTTCAAAAGAAGACATTTATGAGGCCAACAAATGTATGAAAAATGCTAATTATCACTGGTCATTAGAGAAATGCAAATCAAAACCACATTGAGATACTATCTCACATCAGTTAGAATGGTGATCATTAAAAAATCTGGAGACAACAGATGCTGGAGAGGATGTGGAGAAAGAGGAACACTTTTACACTGTTGGTGGGAGTGTAAACTAGTTCAACCACTGTGGAAGACAGTGTGGTGATTCCTCAAGGATCTAGAAATAAAAATACCATTTGACCCAGCAATTCCATTACTGGGTATAAACCCAAAGGATTATAAATCGTTCTATGATAAAGACACATGAACACATATGTTCATTGCAGCACTGTTTACAATAGCAAAGACCTGGAACCAACCCAAATGCCCATCAAGGATAGACTGGATAAAGAAAATGTGGCACATATATCCCATGGAATACTATGCAGCCATAAAAAAAGGATGAGTTCATGTCCTTTGCAGGGACATGGATGAAGCTGGAAACCATCATTCTCAGCAAACTGACACAAGAACAGAAAACTAAACACGGCATGGTCTTGCTGATAGGAATTAGTATGCTCTTCATTACTGAAGAGTCTCAGTCAGGTAAGAAAGAAAAGACCTAAGCCTCTGATAAGAGGTTATGATGAAATCTTGATCCTTCTACTGTTTGGAAAGAAAGATACCGTAAGTATAGGCAACTCAAACGACTCTCCAAGCCTAAGTCAAGATATTCCAAAGACTGTCTGTGGGCTTCACCCGGTGAAAGGTGCAGAAAATAGGTGATATGGGAGAGAAGCCGCAGGAGGATCCCTGCAGGCCGGTGTGGCCAAGGCCAGCTTTCATAAACAAGGGGCCCTGGAGGGATTCAGAGCCAGTCCCACTGGGCTGGAGGATCAACCAGTGAAAGAAGTGTTTCCCTTCACACAGCGACAATCTCAGGTGAACTCAAAGCTGTCTACCTTCAAAGAGGACCTCTACCGTGAGGCAAGAACATATGATATTTTCTTTACTAACAGTATGACATACACTCATTTGACATATTAACTGAATATAAACTACATGCCAGGAACCCTGTGAAACAATTTTATTTCACATTTGTCATAAAAACCACAGGGACACTATTTCCTTCACATAAAAAGCTTGTCGTTTACAGATGTCCTTTTCACCTCTACCACCATGCCCAAGGCCCTGGTGAACATCCAGACCCAGAGCAGGTCTGTTTCCTATGCAGGGTACTGGGTCCAACTCTACTTCTTCTTGACTTTTGGGGACATGGACATCTTTCTCCTGGCTACAATAGCCTATGACTGCTATGTGGCCATTTGCCACCCACTCCACTATCTGATGATCATGAGCCTCCACCACTGTGCCCTACTGGTGACTGCCTGCTGGACCCTCGTGAGTCTTGTTGTCATGACTCACACCTTCCTCATATTCCAGCTTTTCTTCTGCTCTGAGAAGATAATTCCTGACTTCTGTGATTTGGGACCGCTGATGAAGGTGTCCTGCTCTGATACCCAGATCAATGAGCTTGTGCTCCTCTTGCTAGGGGTAGCAGTCATTTTAATCCCTTTTTTGCTCATCCTGGTCTCTTTTTTTTTTTTTTTTTTTTTTGAGACGGAGTTTCGCTCTTGTTACCCAGGCTGGAGTACAATGGCGCCATCTCGGCTCACCGCAACCTCCGCCTCCCGGGTTCAGGCAATTCTCCTGCCTCAGCCTCCTGAGTAGCTGGGATTACAAGCACGCACCACCATGCCCAGCTAATTTTTTGTATTTTTAGTAGAGACGGGGTTTCACCATGTTGACCAGGATGGTCTCGATCTCTTGACCTCGTGATCCACCCGCCTCGGCCTCCCACAGTGCTGGGATTACAGGCTTGAGCCACCGCGCCCGGCCCATCCTGGTCTCTTACAGCTGCATTGTTTTAGCCATCCCCAGGGATCCCCTCTGCCCAGGGAAGGCACAAGACCTTCTCTACCTGTGGCTCTCACCTCGCTGTTGTTGCTCTGTTTCTCGGGATGGTAATCAGGGCTTATCTGTGCCCTTCATTCTCTTCCTTTAACTCAATAGAGGAGGATACAGTGGCTACTGTCATGTACACTGTGGTGACTTCCCTGCTGAACCCCTTTATTTATAGCCTGCAGAACAAGGACTTGAAGGTTGCAGTGGTTAGACTTCTCAAAGGCAGAGTCTCCTTCTCACGGGGCCAGTGACTCCAGTGACTTCTGCGGAGAAACTGAAGATGTCTCTGTCCCCTCCAGTGAGGGGCTTGGCAGAAATTTCTGCCTCAAATGTCTCATTTCTGAATCCCACGTATCCTGTAGCACCATTCCCCTCCATGAATGCCCATTGCAAGTTTGGTGTTTACGAAGGAATATCAGGATTTTGCTTTGTGCTTACTGTGTTAAGAGTTCCTCATTTGCTCATTTATTTTACTTAATAATTTTTCATGAGGAGGAATGACTTTTGCAACACTTAATTCTAAAAGACTGTATAGCCTTTTATGCTAGTTTGTCAGAACTTAATGAGGTCATAGCAATCAAGTCAATATCAGATGGCAAAGACTTTATAACTTTAAGTGAACAAGCATGTTTTTCTACAAAAATAGGAAATTATACAAATATTGTCTCAAAGTTATGAATCAAAGATATTTGCAGCTATTAAAACAAAACTCTCAACAATAGAGGAGTGATTTATGTTCTCTTAGTAAAAATATTTACAGAAAGTCTAAAGTTTAATTAGATCCCATTTGTCTATTTTGGCTTTTGTTGCCATCCTGTTGGTGTTTCAGTCATGACGTCCTTGCCTATGCCTATGTCCTGAATGGTATTGCCTAGGTTTTCTTCTAGGTTTTTTTATGGTGTTAGGTCTTATGTTTAAATCTTTAATCCATCTGGAGTTAATTTTTGTATAACGTGCAAGGAAAGGGTCCAGTTTCAGCTTTCTGCACATGGCTAACCAGTTTTCCCAACATTATTTATTAAACAGGAAATTCTTTCCCCATTGCTTGTTTTTGTCAGGTTTGTCAAAGATCAGATGGTTGTAGATGTATTTATATATGTGTGTGTATGTTTATGTGTGTGTTATATATAATTCTAAAGTAAATTGACCATTCTCTAATAAAGATTATGAATTATTAAGAGGAGAAAAAAAGAAAAAAGTTTTACAAACAATTTGTTAATATGAAGATAAATAAATATATGTTATAGTTTGTGGGGAAAAAAAAGAAATAATACTCCATGTACGCTTTACTCAGTTTTGCCAGTGGTTACCATATTGCAAAACTATAGTGCAGTATCATGATTAGGAAAATGTCACTGATGCAGTCTACTCAATCTTATTTAGAATTTCCCAAATTTACATATATTTGTATGGGTGTTTAGTTTTTATCACACGTGTAGGTCAAAACATAGAACAGCTGCATTACCAAGAGTCCCTCATGTTACCTTTTTATAAGTACATCCACCTGATTCCACCCTACACTCCCATTTTGAACCCCTGGCAATTCCTAATATCTCATTCATCTCTGTGATTTTGTTATATTGAGAACAGCGTTGAATAGACAGAATTGTATAACATGTAACCTTGAAATTGGCACATTTCCCTTGAGAATTTGTCCACATGGTTCTGCAAATTAGTAATTCATTCCCTTTTATTGCTGAGTAGTATTTCATGGTATGAATATACCATCATTTTCTTAAAACCATTCACCTGTTGAAAAACATCTGGTTTGTTTCCCGTCTTCTGGTATTGATATTAAAGCTGCTATAAACACTTATTTATGTTTGTGTGTGTGTGCGTGCGTGCGTGTGTGTGTGTGTGTGTGTGTGTGTGGCCTTTGTCTCTGTTTTGGAATACAAATGTAAATTTCTAAGGACTTTTGCTGTGCTAACTTTATTTTCTTTAAAATTGTAAAGTAGAAAAGGTATGCAGATACCAGTAGTTTCATTAAAGGTGTTTAATAAAAATGTGCTTTACAATCTCCCAATTAAAAGTAGTTTTTAGATCAAATTTTCCTTGAAAGAAAAAAGAGATGATTTTAGGGCAAACCCTCTGCAGACAGAGAATTTAAAATTTCATTTTAAGTGGATTCAAGGAGAACCCATGCCTTGTTTAACATTAAATTTCCAGTGATTTCCACTAGTATAAAATGGGTACGCTCCCTGAGCAGTCTGCACCCAGGTGAAGACAGGGCCATTTCTCTTGGCACCTTCTCCTGATCAGTCTTATCATTTCTCTTTTCTTGGGGGAAAGAGAGTGAGGAATTGACACAGGATTGAGTGTTAAACTAATTGGAATCCCTCCATTTTCCATGTGTGAGTACACATTAAGAGTTAGAAATGATCGTTCCTACCCTTCAATGATATCATAAAACCAAATGTATAATGCAAAATGAGTACCATTTTGGGTCCTTTAGAATCAGTTAATGGTGTTTTTTAATACTGAGAAGCTCACGAGGAAGAGTGTGTTCCTATTTGTTCAGCTGAGGAACAAGACCTTGCTGAGGCGAAACTTTAATACCATTTATCAGAGACTTCAGTAAAAGTGACATATTCAGAACTTGCAGCAAAGAGAGTTCAATGTTTTCAGGGCATTCTTTGTGTTGTTAATAGGGTTGGGGATTCTGAAAACTACTTGAATAAGATAAAAGAATATCACTATCCTCGAAAAAATTCAGAGATGTGGTATATCTCCAAAGGAAAGTAAAGTTTAAAACCACAATTTCCCCACAATACCCACTTGCTTTCTAACATCGCTCTATTCCTACAAACGAGTCAAAGGTTTGAATACTTCACTAAACTATAAAGCAGAGCTCATGATAGTAAATCAGGCAGACAATCATAAGCTTAACTCTGTATCATTCTTTCTTCCATTTTAAAGATAAAGCAATTCTTAGCCTGTGGTTCTGTCTACATATTTAGGGTAGAGGCTGTACATTATTGCCCTTCAGAAGTGGGGACTGTTGGGTTTTTGTGTTAAGGTCATTTAAGTCATGAAAAAAAACAGCAATTTTTCTCTCCCTCTGCAAATTAAACACACTCCCCGTCGTGTTGTAATGGATTTCAGTCCTTTGTAATTAAAGATCCAACTGTTCACCTCTTGAAACCAAGTACTTTTTATCACACTGTTGCTTCATTTATCTCTGAGGAAAGACATGGATCTACCCATTTGCTATTGGAGTGACGCAGTGTGCTCTGTATCGCTGGCAGGAACACAGTAATAAAAGTGAACAGCAGACGTTTTGGAAGAGAACCATTACCTTGATTCTCTAATGAGTTTTGTTTTTCAAGACATTTTCTGTAACAGAGATTTATAACGGAAGAAACCTCAAATTAAGATGACTGGCTCTTCAGAGTGTTATTTTTACTGAGAGTGATTAAAATATTTCCTCTCTAGTTCTGTAGCTGGACTTTAAGTTGCCCTTTTCCAGTATTTCCTTTTGCCTTCCATCGCAGAAATTTCATTTCTTGCTTATTTTCTTCTCTTTCACTTCTAACTCACTCCATGGTCCCACCCAACCCCATGACAAATTCGGCTTTGACTGTGCTCGATTTTGAGTTTCCCAGAAAGCAGGGCCCGAGACAGAGGGAATAGGTGCTATTGCCAAAGGATGCATGAGTGAGCAAGAAGGGAGAGACGTGGGAAAGGAGGAAGACTTAAGGTGAAGGTGTATTTGACACTGTTGTTTGTTGAGTGTGACTGGTTGCTAGATCCATGGAAAAAAACAACCAAGAAGCTGAAGAAAGTGCCTTGCAGCCAACTTGAGTAAAGGGAGGAAATTCCTTCAGTGGATCCTATCTCTGATTGTTCAAAGGTCGCCCATCCCATGGAGCTTTGCACTTCTAGTGATGCACCTATGGAAATAGGCATCCCATTGGTTCTCCCGGGGAAATCAGCAAGAAAGCCCTGTGCAGAAGTAGGGGTGCTGTCAGAGAATGTCTGTTAAGAAGCCAGCCAGAGTTCTTACGAGCTGGTTGTCACCTCAGCAGCTGGAACAGAAGGCAGTTGAAGCCTAGAGGATGTCAAAAGCTGCCCAAGATGTGTCCAGCACACATTGCAATTGCTTCCTGTAAATTGTCAGTCTGTGCAGAAGCACAAGTGAGACTTGTCTCTGCAATTGAGGACTTAAAATAGTCTTGGAAACATAGTCTTGGGACTATGAACTTATGTTGTAAGAGATTGCTAATTCAATCCTGGTCGAGCAAGTAGAAAACAGAGATCATAGATGTTTCATTCTGCATTCCCAATATGAAACATAAAGTTTGCCACAAAACAAACGCTCAACACAACTTGTAATAATAGTGACTTTATGCATAAATTGCATTTTAGGACAACTAGAACTTACAAATATAGTCATTAAAAAAAACTGTGATAGGGCCGGGCGCGGTGGCTCAAGCCTGTAATCCCAGCACTTTGGGAGGCCGAGGCGGGTGGATCACGAGGTCAAGAGATCGAGACCATCCTGGTCAACACGGTGAAACCCCGTCTCTACTAAAAATACAAAAAATTAGCTGGGCATGGTGGCGCGTGCCTGTAATCCCAGCTACTCAGGAGGCTGAGGCAGGAGAATTGCCTGAACCCAGGAGGCGGAGGTTGCGGTGAGCCGAGATCGCGCCATTGCACTCCAGCCTGGGTAACAAGAGCGAAACTCCATCCCAAAAAAAAAAAAAAAAAAAAAAAAACTGTGATATATTTTATGACACTAGTTGCTATGGCATGATAAATCAAAGTAGCAGGTTTAGTCTTCGACATGTTGGAGTCATTTAAGAAGCCTATTCCTAACTGTCATTTCAACTCAGAAGTTGCTGGAGTTTGTGTGTCCATTTTCATCTGACTAGTCTGGCCTATTCAAGCCCAAAGTCTCAGATAGGGAGTGATGTTATCTAATACCGCTTGAAGGTACTTTCGATAGTTAGCTCAGAGAATAGCCACTTGTGCTTTTTTGTATTGAGCTGCCTTAGGGACTCTTATCTAAAATGTTTCACTAAGAACCCTAAGCTACTGTTCACAAACAGAATGTTAAAAAATAATCAATTAAGAGCAATATTACATTGGGCCAAGTTCATTTGTCTTTCTTTATTACAATTTTTCCTGCTATTTGTTGTTTTTTGTTTGAAAGGGAAGTGAATTATGCATACACTGAGTTTTAGGAAATATTTAGCTGTTAGATATTTAAAACATAATCAAATCCATATTGCTATAGAAATCTTAA